CACGAGGTCAGGAGATCAAGACCATCCTGGCTAACACGGTGAAACCCCATCTCTACTAAAAATACAAAAAATTAGCCAGGCGTGGTGGCAGGTGCCTGTAGTCCCAGCTACTCATAGTCCCAGCTACTCAGGAGGCTGAGGCAGGAGAATGGCATGAACCTGAGAGGCAGAGCTTACAGTGAGCCGAGATCACGCCACTGCACTCCAGCCTGGGCAACAGAGCCCTAGACTCCATCTCCAAAAATAAAGAAAGAAAGAAACTCCCTCTCAATTCTTTGCTGACTCTCCTCTGCCTCCGATCAGGCCCTCTTAGCTTCTTCCATCTGCTTATCCTCTCGGATCTTCTCTTTCATGTTGATATCTGAATCAATACTATCTTACCGCATTCTATAACTATCTGTTCCCAGGTGTCAGCTATAATCCATCGGTGATTATTCCAGCACAAATCCACATCCCTAGCCCAGACTTTCCTCTGCTGAGGTTCATATTTATTTGCAACTGTGATTAAACATTGGAATGTTCACAGTCTCTTTAAAAGTAAAGTGTCCAAAATGGAGTTCATTATCTTTCCCCCAAGATCTGCTCTTCCTCCCCCTTGTATTCCAAGCAGAACCTGCACGTCCCCCCACCTCTGCCACCTCACTTAGCCACTGCACCCCAACAGACGGAACATTGTGTTGGCCCTGCCTCCCAAATGCGGCCTCAAGTCTGCTCTTGGCATCCCATCACCTCTACTTTAGATCACTAACACTGACCTTCAGGCTCTCCCCTCTGCCCCAGAGCTGCTTCCTACTCCTTTCTTGGTGCTGCCAGAGTGCATCCCCCAAATCCCATCTGAACAGATCACCTCCCTGCTCAGATCCCCAGGTCTTGAGGCTGCCTGTAGGATCAATTCAGATTCAGCTTGACCAAGCCAGCTGCTGGCCTCTACACACCACACTGACTTCTCCATCTTGTCCACATAGTCCAGTCTCATTCAGACACTGCACGGGCAAAGCTATACATTTTGCACTAAATGTTCTGGTTCTCTGCCATTCTGTGAAACACCCCCATCAGCCAGAGGCAGCCAAGGCTTCTTAATCCTTGCTTCGTGCTAGAAAGAGTTCCAAAGTCCAGACTCACATCTGTGTCCCCAGGAAAGGTGAGCTGGTGCTAACACTGTGAGGACTGGCAGATGTGTCTTCATGGTGTTAAAACTGGGTAAAAAGCAAAGCAGCTGTGCAGACCTCCCCCTGCCAGGCAAGCACCCCACAGAGTCCTTCCTGCCTCTTCCTGCCTGCCTTTGGCCAAAAGCATCTTTCCAGAGAGAATCACCCTTGACAGGCAAAGGCACAGGACTGCCAGGGAAGGAGTTTCTCCCCGCCACACCCAGAACAGAAACCCTGGACCCTCCCCACCTTGCTCTCCAGCAGCAAGTAAGGCCTGCAAATGCCCCAGAACCCAGTGCAGCCTGACTCACAAGTCATGGAAGTTGCACAGGGAGGAGGCTGGGGTGAAGACATCCAGGAGCCCAATGACCTGGGAAAAAAGTCACCTGTGAGGGCTAGACAGATATTTCCTTCTCCTCCCACCTCCTCCTGGGCCCTGGCCATGCACAGGGCCATCCACCCTTTCCTAATACACCACCCGCAGCAGGAGGCATGTCTCCAACCTTCTTGGAAGCAGTAAAAAGGGCAGAGGCCTAGAGGAATCCCCTGGATTTGGAGGGAGTTTGCAATAAATCATGACAGAGAGTCAGGCTGAGGAGAAGGGAAGGTGGGGAGAAGAATGAGGTGTGCTCATTACTTTCAAGTCTGGTGTTCAGGGCAAGCAATGCAAACCCACTCTCAACTCACACAGGCAGCAGGAAAGCATAAGGGGAGGGCGGAAGGGAAAAAGGAGGGAACAGGGAAGGAGCTTTCCAGCTAGCAAATGCCCTGCCCCGACCTTGGGTCTCCAGCCACATCCTTCCTTGCCTGCCACAGGGCTGGTTCAGAGCCAAGGGCAAGATCACCCTGGCTGGAGGAATAGGGGAGGGGTTTGCTGGAGAAAGATGGGCTTAAAATGTACATAACATTTTGAAATGATTCTTTGAAATGTCTGCCCTCCAATCTAGGTATCCTGCAGCAAAGCCTGCCTGCCAGGCCCTGAGCTGGGCCCCTGGTTTTCCTGGCTGCTTCTATCAGACAAGCCAATCTGATGGTCATGTGCTTAGACCCTGAGCCTCGCTGCCCAGATTGAAACCCCAGCTCTGCTACTGACTAACCATCTAACCTGTGAGACTTGCTGTGCTTTAGTTTCCCTGTCTGTGACACGAGGCAATAGAACTCATATATCATGAGGACCAGACAAGTTAGTGTATGCAGAGCTCTTAGAACACAGGAAGTGCTCAATATGTGTATATTGTTGTTATCAGGGTCACGTGGACACAACACTAACTAGGATTCTAGTCCCAGCTAGCCACAAGTTCTCAGACATGGAACCAATTACAAAGTTCCCCTGTGCCAATTTCCTCTGTAGGATGAGACAGTCTGTACCTCACAAAGTGTGTCCTGCCAAAAATACCCTTTGACCCCTTCCTGGAAAGTGGGCAGGGCAGGTCCCAGTACCCCCTCCTTTCAACAGTGAGGTGAGAGGCACCATCGGGGAGCAGGGAGGAGACTATCCCGAGCTCTCCACACCGGGAGGCCCCGCCTGCGCCTGCCCCTGACTCCCCAGGGCAGCCCCCGCCCCATTCCCCGGGGCAGCCACGGCCTACGTTCTCATGCTGCATGTGCTTCAGCAGCAGCAGCTCCCGGTAGGCGCGTTTGGCGAAGATCTCGGACTGAAAGGGCCGGCTCAGCTTCTTGATGGCCACCTTCTCCCCTGACCGCTTGTCGATGGCCGAGCTGTGGGGCACAGGCAGGTCAGCAGGCGAGGCTCTCCTCCTGGGCCGTATCTCCCAGATCGCCCTGACCCCTCCCACTGGGCAGCTGGGCTGAGAGGGGACGATGACCACCACCTAGAATATGGGGCAGCCCCGGGACGCAGGGCAGGGAGTGGGAAGTCAGGCAGGAGCTGAGAGAGGGGCACAGCGCCAGGGGTAGCAATCGTCTCATTGCGACGGGATCCACAGCAGGGAAGGAGTCTCACTCTCTCTGCAACTTGGCGAGCCACCTCCCCATCTTGGGGCCTCGGTGTACTTTGTCTGTAACAGTGAGGATCTGCCCGATGAACTCCGGGATCTTGCAAGGGCACAGTCCTGGAGAACCAGGCCCAGTCCCAATTCGACCCACAGAGACCTCACTCAGCCACCCGGTGAGAAAAGGGAGATGGCGGCTGAGTGGCCCCGGGGAGGGCGCTGCGCCTTGAGGTCCGCGGTCAAGGTGGCGCTGGCGAGGGGGCAGCCC